CCACCCCCTGGTTGCCATCTTGTGACAAAGTCCCGCCCCCTAACCCTTGTCATCAGAAGTCCTTGCCCGTGCCCCCAAAAGTACTGCTTTCACCAAGGGGATTTGCCAACTTGGAACCAGAAAAATACCAAATTATATTCTGCAAATTGAACATCTACAACATTCTTTAATTTGATTTCAAAAACTATTTTTGTCCCGATATACATGCATTTGTGTAGTGCACATAGAGGTGATTGCACAATAGTTTAAAATGAAGTCTTACCCTTGTATATTGTGGATGGCTGGGTGGCATGGCAGGGTGGGTATAGCTGGGGGTGGGGCTGTGGGTGTGTGGGTATGTCCATGGTGTGTGTGTGTGTGTGTGGGGGGGGGGTGCATGTTTATGGTAAGGTCTGCATGTGAGACTTGCCCTATGAACAAACAAACACCCACCCACCCAGGCCCAGGGTACCCGTGCCCATGATCGTACCCACCCACGCGGCCCATGATCCCGCGGTACAGCAACGCAGCCGGGGGGGGTGGTCACGTGGTGCTACAGCAGCTCGAAAGCTGCAGCAGGCAGATGCTTCTAGCTGGGCAGGGGGTGGTGGTGAGAGTGGGACAGGGCTGGGATGGCTTTGCTGGCGAGTCCTGCTGGCTCCCCACCCTACCAGGTCCTACTGCCCATGGCTCCTGTCATCTTTGACAAGCAGCCAAGAGCAGATAAATATATATTTTGTAAATGTTTTACCCACGCCTGAGCTACAGGTTCTCATGTCTGTGTTGTGCTGCAGTTTAGCCACACTAAAATTAATGTAAATCCAGAGGAATTTTACTAATGGATCAGAATCCGACTCCAAGGGATGTTAGCAAGAAACATGCAGAATTACAGCTTCCTACTGAAGATGAAATATCTTTGCCACTCATGTGGCAAAAGCTTCAGTTGATTTCTTCACTTGCCACAGAACCTCTCCAGTTCTGTGGAAGCCATTCAAAAAAAAAAAGAAGAAAGAAAAACGATGGCTAGTTGCTAGATGAAACTCAGATCAAGTCTACTAGTCAGATCCTAGCATGAAGGCATCATGACTGAAAAATCCCATGCTCCCCATGACTGAACAGAGCTGGACTGTGTGTACTTGATAGACACAAAAAATCCTGAGCCTATCCCTTTTAGAAATAAAGCTAATGTTCTGGCAGGTCAAAGGATAAATTAGTCTGCAGTATAGGACAGTGAGGTCACCGGAGTTTCTTAGACAGTCTGCTTAGCACAGTGGCCGCAGGCACCTGTGTGTTAGTCATGCTAAACCCCAGCTACCATTATAAGAAAGTCAAGAGATTCAGGTCAAGGCATTCTTGATGACAGTTCAGTTGGAACAATTAATTTAGTCTCGAGTGAGGCGTAACTTCAGCTGCATAATTTATTCTGCTGTGAAATTATACTGGGGAAGTGGCTGTGTGGGGAGGAAGGGCCAGGGATTAGGGAAAAAAGGAGAAGAGGAAAGGGGAATGAACTGGCAGTGGCAATTAGATTTTTTAGATGACCAGCAGCATATCTTGAGTCTCAGGGAAGAAGAACACCTTACATTAGTTCCAACTGGCAGCAAAAAGGCAGGACTCAAGAGGTTGCCAAACTGAAAGTGAATTAAATCCTTTACATACACTTTGGTCTCTCCAGCAGAGGCACATCTTTCTCCTTCATCCACGTTAGTGTTTTATTATTCCCTTGGGAATTACACAACAGCTATTTAAGAAGTAGAGTTAAATCTTCACTAGTCACAAGACTCAGTACGAGTTTAAACCAGATGACTGAACTGTCTTGCAAGATGATGAACAGTCAGTTGCTCTGGCAAAGGGTACAGTATCACCAAAATCTTCATTTCACATGGAACGGGTTTTCATTTTGTGGACTAAGGCATTTTTAATATGAAACTGAACATCCAGCCAACATGTGCCTGTGCAGCATGTGCATGCACAAAGCCAGAGGACTTGTTTAAGAATGTCAGACTGGCTTCAAATATATGGGAGTTGGGCCTCCAAACGACTACCTTCCAAAATGTGGTGTATTATAGTCAGTCACTTATGTGTGTAAAGAGGTTTACTCCTAGATGGACCGGGAAAAGAAATCTTTAATTTCAAGTTTTTCTGTAGAGTACTGGGTAGCAGACAGACCAGAATCAAAGTTTAGAATCCCATGATTTGTCATACCCCTGCTTTACTGTGGCAGGTTAGGGTGCTATGCCTTGTAGTTGCATAATAGCTGGATGTGCAGTTTTAGTAATAAGTTAGACAAACATTTGTATGGGATGGTTTGGCCTCAGACAGGGAGTTGGACTAGATGACCATGGGAGGTCCCTTCCAGCCCTATTTTTCTATGATTTATCCTGTAGAGTCCTGCCAAAGTCTGCTATGTTTAGCACAGCCTTTTGGCTGGGTGTCCAGGCTTTCTTCTTTACTTATAAGCCCAGTAGTCTATCTTCAAGTGATATCAGCTCATTTACTTCAGCATTCATGCTTAAATTTGGGGGCATCAAAATCTTGCCACCTTCTGAATGGTCCTCTTCTGGAATCAGGGACCACACAGGGATCAGACCCTCAAGGACCAGTAGGGTCTTGAGAGTTAGGAGGATTAAATTTAGAACTCCATTTCAAGCTTGTCTTAGCAGCAATGCAAAATTAAAAGACTGATAACTATACAAGAGGGTCATTACTACAGCTAAGGACTTGCTTTTATTAGTTAATTCTTGGGTGCTGGATGAGCAACTAGAGCACAAGTCTAACTTTATTTTTGCCTCCCTGTCTAAGTGCTAGGATACTTATACCTTTGAAGTCCAAGGCTGCAGGATGGGTGGAAGAACATTTTCTAGTTTAGAACATTTTACCCTATACGAGAACATTCATGGTTCATTAGCCCCATCTAGTTTTTGAAGTTATTGCACTTGGACACTTGGTAGCCTAGCGTATAATTTTCCATGTTAACCCCTCCCCCCTGCTCCCCCCAAAACCAAACAAACAAACCAACCAACCAACCATTCTCTCAAGTGACAAGATGGGCTTGGTAAAAATGCCAGGCTTTCTGGGAGAAAAGGGGAGTTAATGTCACTGTTTGCATCCTATTAGCCTAGGAATAAGTGAAACCTCTTAAAAGGAACATTTAAGTGCTCTCCTTCTTAAGCCATACATGGCTATTTAACTTCACTAACTATAGGCTGAGCTATCCATATTCAACTGTGTGCCAAATACAGTTTTCACCAGACCCCAGTCAGCAGGAAAGCTACAATGTAGACTTTCAGCCCCCTTTGCCCTTATATTTGATTCAGTCAAAAACAAGGGTCCTGCTTCATATATTGGGCCAAGAGACAATAAGGATGTGTTAGAGATGCCAACATGCAGCTGGTCCCCTTCTACTTCCCTCCGCTCCCCCACTCAACCAATGACATCTCAAACAGAATGGTAGCCTCTTATATTTGGCAAGCCTGCCAGTTAAGTACATATATATGGATAAGTAGCATCTCACAGGCTGTTAAAAATAGGCCTACCCCAGGCCATTATAGAGGGGTAAGGAGCTACATGCATTCTACAGGTAGTGTTAGGTCCCTCTTGCAGCATAGTTTAAAGTGGAACTCGATGGTATTAGATTAGTTGACTCTCTAGAGAAAGATCCTGACTAGTTCTCTGAATCTTCCAGATGCATCTATACAGCAAGAGAAGCACCCTGTATTCAGTCCAACTAGATCACAGCTTGTTATTAGGTCAGCATGTAAAAGGTGTAGGAGAAACTGTGATGAAACTGTGTCCAAGAACGATACAGCTCCTGCTGAAGTATGCCACTCTGTGGTAGCCAGGATCTGGGACCCAATGCTTACCATAATAGCTGCACTCAGCTACTTCCCATACAATAGGACCAGTTCATTCATACAACATGGAACCAGATTCTTCTGATCAAAGGAGCCACATATTCCCTTTCCACAGGGTTGGCCTATTGCCATGATGTTGGTCCTTATGCTCTGATGCATTTCTAAAATGTAAGGCTCATGAGCTAAATGGGTAAAGGGGCAAATGTGCATGTACAGTTGGTGCTGCACAGTCAATCACTGTCTGAAGATTGAGCACTGTGAAGCTTGCCGTCCTGTTAAGAATCCCCGTGTGTAGAGATCTGGCATATATGCATGCAACTACAATCACACAAACATTACATTGCCTAGAAGCCAGTAGAAAACAAACAAACAAACCAACAAAAAAAAAAAAAAAAAAACCCAGTAAAAGTCTGCATCTTAAAAGAATAGGGGATGGTCTTCCTAGTCCTCTGGGAAGCATAAGTGTGTGTGCCAGGCACTACAGAGGATGCACTGAGCCACACATTAGAAATATTAGCTTCCCAAAGCTAAGATGAAAAGAGGGTACCTAGGGGCCTATAAATGCCAAACCTAGTTTTGACATTGAATCCCATCCTCCTCTATGCCCTAAAAATGCCAGGAGTTTATACCCTTAAGTGTTAAACTATTCAAGTTGCCATTTCAAGGTTTGTTTGGGTTTTTTCTGGCTCTGCCACGTGCCATGGGAGACAGTCTAACCAGTTTAAAATAGCCTCGCCTGCTCAAGATAAACAGAAAGTAGCTTAAAAGATTCGAGTGCTGTATAAACAGCTCCCATCTGCTCTAGGCAGATGCGCTAGGTTGGAGCTCCTCCAGACAGAGCTGCAAATTGGATAATCCTAGTGGACAAATCTAAATTCTTCATTAAGAAACTTGCCCTTCTTTCCCCATATCCCTGTTCCTCCTCCCCCTGGAAGAATGCTACATAATTATTACAGTCTGATATTAAGAGTGAAGCTTGTTTTAAACAATTCTGTCCTGCCAAGCAAACATTCCAGTCTGTTGACTTGTTCCCATTATGAGAATACTTGTTACTTGCTCAGATTATGGAAGGGTATGTTAGACTGAGTTTTAATCCAGCCCAGACTTTATAGGCTGCTGCCATCACCACCTAAGCAGCCAACAGTGGTGTCTAGTCAGAGAGCTTACCTGATATGACAGCCCATCCTTGCGGGGGTTTAGCCCAATCTCATCCATAGATGGAGTGTTCATCATCACCTCAGTCATTTCAGCTGATCTCAGGTAAGCAGGGCTGAAGAGACAAAAAGATCAACTTTCAACTCTTATGGAGTCATCTCACTTGAGCAAGTTTGTGGCTTTTAAAAAAAAAAAAAAGCTTCTATTGCCACAAAGCTAATCACATATATACAAAAAAAATTCAACTTTAACCAGTAAATACTATTTCTTTTCTTCCACCCTGCCTTTTTGTTTCTGTTAAAAAGTCATCCTTCTCAGAGTTAATGCACAAAAACATATGCATTCAAAAGCTGCTCATAGGCTCTTTCACTATGACAAAGGTATCACCAAGAGTTTCAGACCAACACCACTTCCTCCAGCTCTGCCTCCCTCGACATGTAGGGGGAAACTAAAGCCACAGCAAGTTAAAGCACATTAGTATCAAGGGGAAAAAGAAAGAGGACTAGTTTGATTCCTGCAGATCTGTTTCACAACCTTAAGAGACTCCCACAGCAGTAAAAATGAGATGTTAATTCCTGGTCTGTGTTTCTAGCCATAAGCAAAAGATTTCCAGCTCAACAGTTCGAGAAAGTAAGAGTGGCCTCCTACAGCATGCGGTTCCTCTATCTCAGATTATGCCAACATTGCCTAACTGACTTCTAGTCATGGTGCCTTCTATTTGCACAGTTTGTGTCACCAAAACACAGGTCATCTTTTCCTCCACTGTTCTTATCAATTCATGTTAAGTTAGTTCAAGCTACCCTCCCCATGCCACACACTACTCTATGCATGGGGTGGGGGGAGATGCAATGATATACAAGAGGCAGAGGCAAAGAATTGTCCTTCAGTGAAGAAATGGTACTGCTCACTGTTAGTACTGACAGCGGAAGCTAATGCTGACGTTTAAGCATGTTTTACCACATGGGCAGGCATAGATGATATGCAGAAAGGAACTGGCAGGGCTGGAAAAGGCTGACAGATGTTCCCTTGCAAGCTTTCCACTTGGAACTTTTCACATGGATGCCTCTTGAACAAGGCTCACCTAGTACACAGCCTCCTGAGCTAACAGGAGCTTGCGTGCCTCCTAGCCTATCCTCTGCTGCAACATGCTGGTCTGGCAAGCGAATGACCAGCTACAGCTTTGCATCTTTCAGCTCTTAGGGTGGTCAGAAGGAAGCTAACCAGTGGGTGTAAGATCTAGGGCTTGAGGGGGAAGAGGGGGGTTGTACTTAGCTGGTATTTTTGTTAACCAAACTGTCATCTACATGCACTGCCTAGTTAAACTGCACTGAAGAAAGTTTGCCCCTGGCAGCCGGGTCTCCCAGGTGCTTGCCAGGGAAGCGGCCAGAAGGCACAGCAAGCCCTTCTGTTCACTGGAAAGAAAGGCCTTTTGACATGCCATTGGGACTAGCCCAAGTCAAGCTATGAGCTCTTATTGGCGAGGAGGGCTACTAAAGGCATATTGTTAATGCCTTAGGGCAAATAAAAGACACAACAGGGATGGAAGCAAGGGTCCTAGGTCTGCAAGGAGCGCACTGGGCAGTGCCCACTGACCCTCCAAGGAGGGTCAAGGAGTCTGAAAGGAGGTCTGCCTCAGCCAAGTGACCAGCCCCCAGTGCTGAAGGAAGGTGGGCAAGGCCCCAGCAGGGGAGGCTGCTGGTGGGGGGAGGGCCCTGGAGTCCCTCAGGGACCTCCAGGAGGAGGAGGGATCTCTGCTTAGCAAGGTAGTTTATTAAGAAGCAGAGGCAGTTGGGAGCAGCTGAAAGGGGGGCAGGGGACTTGAGGCTGCAGGCACCTCTCACAGCACCTCCCTGGGCTGGGAGACTGGGGGG